CACTTTATTTTCAACCGATTTCACCGATCTGATTGCCCAACTGAACTAATGCATGATAACAAAATTCAAACTCTAGAATGTCGCAGGAAAACTGCAAGACTAAAACTTCTTTTCTATCTATCCAGCAAAAAAGTGTACTTGAGCTAACGAATATTCTTTCTCCGTTATCTTCGCGTCCAACTAGACGGTATCATTGACAAAACTTCACTCCTATCTTTGCTCGAACTAACAAATTCAAATACTCTTTCTTTCCTCGCACATTAACAGAATGGAACGAACTACCACATAACATTTTTGAGTCTGGAAACGTGTCAAGATGTAGTGAATTTTTTTTGAAGTAACTTAGATCTTGTACCATAATGTGTTGTATATTTACCTGTTAGTTTGTGCCTCCTGTATTGTTGCTTTTTTTTGTCATATTCTGATACTGTACCACCCCCACTCCGGCCTGGGCTATTCTTAGCCTGCAGTATTTTTTAAATAAATAAATAAATAAATATTTGGTGAAACATAAATCAGTACTGCTCAGACTCATTATATTGGTCATCTGAAAATAAAGGCAGCTTAGCCCAACATATTGTTAGGTGCCGCAAAAATGTTTTCACCCCTTTCACATATAGGAGGTGTGGGACGATGCTCTCTGCGATGGCTGTTTTGAGATCCACTTGGTCTGGGTTCCACGGGCCTGGGTGGTCGCCAAAATCATCAAGGGCAACCGAGACTAGGGTACCTTCTTCATATTTTGGATATATATATATATTTATTAAACTGTTTTCTGTATGTCTCTATCGTGGCATATCAACAACCTACCGTCGAAGGAAATGCGTATGTGCCACCGATATTGGGTATATCCCACTGCACACAACTTCTACTAAAGAGGTAGTAGGCTAAATTTAGCTCAACAAATTCTTACCATAGTCACACTTAGGCCACGTAATACTTCGTAATTATAAAATGTGGTGGCTATATCACCATCTCAAAGCTTAACTAAAGGGTTTAATCTAGAGAAGTGATACGAAATATAACTGAAAATCTTGCAAAACGAGGAAATGGATTAGCCTGGTGAAAGGAACGCTACCATCTTCGTCATTACCGTGCTGTTTGCGAACCGCAGCTGATTGAATAATTTATTGATTTACTTATTTGCTTCTATTTTCGGACAGTGGAAGTGCGCTTGAAGCCCATATTCATAATTTTCTAAATAATGAAATTAAATACTTAACTAAATATTTAGTGTAAGAAAGATATTTCAACCTAACAACTTAAGTGAACAAATCAGCTAGATGTGTTTCATTTCAACAACTTACAGGCGGCACCGATTTCGTAATTTCCTTTTCCGATGTGAGCAAATAAATAAAGGTTTATTAGTAGAAGAGGTTAAAAACACAAAACTTCACTTTTTAACGAGATTTGTGCTAACCATGTGCCACCATCACTTATGATATTTCCTCCACGAGGAATAGCCATCGCATTCTCCTAAGAATATTTCGCTTAAGTAGGTTTTTTGTCGATGCGGCCCCTGGATACCGTTTTTCTTCATAACCCTGAATTTTGCGCAAAGCGGCGAGCATCCTGTGACTGAGGAGAGAAGGAACCGCATGTAGCTGAGTTCACAACTGGGGTATTCTTATGAAAACCACAAAAAAAAACTTTAAAATATTGCAGCATCGCAAGAGGCAAGTTTGCCTAACTTTTGTGATTCGTTCTGCTCGAGGGATTAATATTTTGCCTGGCCACAACTTTTGGGCAGTTTTCCTCGTAGTGTTATGCTTTTCGAAGCGTAAGCTACACTGGCTGAAATCAAACAGTTTCGCGTGGCTTATCGAAAGCCGTGCTGCGCATGCCTGAAGAGCAGTGGCGCCACACGGCACAAATCTGGCGCAGCGGAGAAGACTTCGAAGCTTCTGGAGTGACACCTCAATAGTGGGCGGGTACTTGACTCGCATGAGCTCACTCGCTAGTTCATACATTCATCCATTTGTCTATCTGTCAATGCGTCCGTCTGTATGTCCGTCCGTCCATCTCTCCGTAGCTCACGCTACGTATATATATCTGGCGAGGCAAAGTTAACCCCCTGCTACTTGTATTTCACGCTTATATATTGAAACACGAGCTGTTCCAGCTCTTGCACGGTATTCTGACGTCTATCTCTTGTTTTTGGGCTCCTCAAGGTAATTATGAAAATAAAGTGATTCAGAGATTTCTACAAAGGATGACATTTCTGCCAAGAATAGTGGGAGGAACAGCGGTGAATATTTATTGCGTGTTACCATACCTTCGAGCTTCCGTCTAAGGATGTATGCCAGGAAACCTTGGCAGCCACGATTCCCCATTTGTAGCCACGAAAATCCTAATGTGAGATGCACCTCTAAATAATAAAATAAAAATTGTGGCCTTTTATATTAAGGTATTTATCTGCCTAACATCGCATGCAACATTACATCGCATTAAACAAACCAGTTCAATGCCTCGAATAACGCATTCTGTCACAAGCAGTCCTTCAAAATCCTCTATTACACAGAAAAACAGCGCAAAGTAAAGTGAAAAAACTCAGGTAGTGGATTCTATGATTTAGGAATGTCTAATGCAATATTGACGATACTTTAAATGGAGCTCATCATGTTATGAAGCGCGGAATATGCAGGGACGCAGAAATACAGGAAGAACGTACCTCTTCTTCATCGCAATGTTTATTTCGCAATATTTAAGCGTGATTCGTCTCCAACGAGGCCTAATAGCTGCGCTGCCTTTTAAGAGAATAATTATGAGCACAGTGTCTAATAAACATAAGAAAGTTCATTTAGCAAAGCTAGCGCCCTTATGAAGATTGGACTTCAAGTACGTGAAAACTAATCTTTACGAGTTATAAAACAAAAAAAAATCGACGCGGATGTCATAAACTGACCGACCCGTTGGCAAAACCTGCCGCAGTTTTCTGTGGTGTGTTTTCATCAACGCTAACAGATCATTCGTACTTGAGTAGAGCCGTGTGACAGGACATGAAAAAGCGAGAAGTACGCGCTATTGTTTTGCAGCTTACGTTCAAGTAGCCGCATGGTCCCTATCTATAGGCCTTCGAATGGTCACATGCTTTGCTTCTGTATGACAGATATCGGGTCACATGGAACACTGGCGTCAAAATGAATAAGCGCCGAGGGCGTGGCAGTGATGAACGCTCTGCAAGCGCAGACACGTCTACAAGGTTGTACCGACTTTCCAAATGAATGGCAGAACATCCACATACGATAGCTTACTATTAACATACCGCAAGTCTGGCGCAAAATTTCGTTCACGTAGTGAACGAAATGCATACGATCAAGTTGTACGCTGCTTGATATGATCACCTTTTTCCCACTGCCCCTATGATAGAGCAAAAAATGTTAAATACCTAGAGCTCATCATGACTTCGTAGACAGCCGAAATTTGTAATGACCTCATTACGTCGTTTTGACTTTCCGCAATATCAAAACTACGGTACTTCTTCAAGTGCCATTGCCGATCACTGATATTATCTGGGGTTGAACACCCCGAAACCACCATATCAATAGGACAGACGCTGTGGTGGAGGCCTCCGGAAATTTCCACCATCTGGTCTTCTATAACCTGCATTGACATCGCATACTACACGGCTGATGCATCTCCACGTTCAGTTGTGGGTTCAGCCCGCTGATGTTGCCCACTATGGGGGGAGTGAGCATATTCTCCGGATCAAATAAAGTTATTTGCCTGCCTCCCTCATCTATCTCGCCTCCACCGAAATGTGACCGCCCTGGCGTGGATTCAACCTACGGCATTCTGGTCAGCAGCCCACCACCGTAGCCAGTGATCTCCGGTGGTCGACGTTATTCAAGTGTTTACGTTGAGTATTCCCCATTCTAATAAAATCCTACGCTTTGGGATGTTATCACTCTCTACATGCTGCATTTGTGGGCGAGGAAAAGAAGTTTAATACAGAAAGCCCAACGTGACTTGGTAGACAGCATCGATTTCTGACGACCGCATGGCGTCATCGTGACCTCATGCAAGTTTTTAACTACATTGCACCGTCAGATGGAATCCCCAATCGTTCAAAATTGGGCCGATCTCTGAGGTAATGCAATGAACGTAATCTGCCAAAAACTTCTGTGAAGCGGGGAGTGCACTTCCTTTCTCTTCGCCCGGAGCTCACACGGTGAACGCTATTTGTTACCGCGTGGTCGTGTGAACACCCAAGAAGCCAAGGCAACGCAGTGCGCAGCACGGCAGGCTCGCGACGCAGCAGAAGCGCAGCCAAGAGCCCACAATAACAGCCCGGGATATATAACGTCGTTAAGCCTATATATGATGGTAGAAAATGTGTAGGGAGGATTTGCGGGTTAAGGTGCATTGACACGCAAGGGAAAAATCGTGCTTCTCCGCGGACCGAACGGTCACCTTACCAGTTCCATCCGACGAAACCGCCGAAGCATTGTATGCACACAGCTGGAGCGCGCCTCACGAGATCCGTATGCTCGACTCTCGCGCTTATGGAACGCTTCTCCTCCTGCTAGAACGCTAGATTCAAGAGGACAGTCTAAAATGGAACCCTATTTGAAAAGACGTTTGTGGCTACGCATTTATATTTATGGCGCGAGGGTGGGGAGTTCTCATAGCATGTGCGTCATGTGACGCACCGTCTACCACAAAAATTCCTCATTTATTCGCTCGTGTGAATCCAGCCTAACACGATCGTGTCCGAGCAAGCTCCTCTAACGTCATTCCCTGCGAAAATATGGCGGTGATTTTTTTATTGCTGTAAATCATTTCGCGAAACCCTGTTACATCAGTGCTTTTCATTCGCGTTAAATTATCGTGCCCCCTGGTTGTTTGACCATGTTTACACCTCTATTACAAAGCGACCTAGGTAAGCTTGTGACATCGGCTATAGCTCTGTAAGGTCAGTAGTATATGTGGTATTAACTTAGTGTTTTACCGTAGCTATATCACCCCGTTCATGCAAATGACATCGCCTTATTCCTCACCTTCCTCATCTTTTTGAGGCATGGAACCTCCGATGGCTGTTCGAGGAATTATTTAGCGTAGCTGTAATAAAGAGGCAAGAGTAAGTCGATAATTTTTCTTATATAACTAAGTACTCCTATGTTTTTCTCAGCTTTGTCGGCTGTCCATTCATTATGCTTCAGACTAGACAACTGCTCGTTCCTCTGTTACTGAATTCTGCTAAGGAATAGTCGACAAACACTGCAGCCATGTCAGCCACACACACTATTTATTAGGCATTCGGCCATGCACTATTCAATGGACAATTAAAAAATTATTATACTCACCAAATACCGAAATACTTGTCTTTCGAAGTTTAAACTAGGCTGAAATAAATCCAAAACTGAGAGCTTTTCTACAAAATTAGTACAACAGCATTGTTTTCAGAACTGTTAGAGTCTTTGGCTATCGTAAGAGCTGAAACCTACAAGCTTACTACTATGTTTGTTCGTTTTAATGTATTTTTTGACGTTGTTTATAATTCAATGCCTTGATTGGTTCATAATTATTCATTTTTATAGCTTTTTGTGCTGGAATTCCTTTCCTTAATGACATGGAAGAAGAGGGCCCATTACAACGTAAAAATTGTTTGTTCGAGCTCACTTGCACTTACAACGACTAATGGATATGATTTTAACAGATTCACTACCGTCGCTGGTTCTTACCTATGTTATATTTTTTCCGAAGGTAGGACAAGAAATATATATATATATATATATATATTATATATATATATATATATATATATATATAATATATATATATATATATATATATATATATATATACATATCATTGGTCATAAATTTCTTGTCGTAACAAAACACAGTGTTCAAATGTTCTTTTTCAGTTGTATTGCAGCCCTTTTCAATGGTGTTCGTCTTTCCCTAATCATAGAAAACGTCGAATTAAGTGTGGCTGATGAAAAAAAAGCCTATCTCGCGCCTTCGAAATGCACGGCTGTGACTCCTTTGCCGATAAATACTGCTATTTAGGTAACCAATTAGTGTGCAACGGGCAGACATATTACATCTTCAGAAACCTAAGAAAAGTCGCGTGGATGGCAACCATGAAGGCGGTGCTCGCACCCACACGTGTTGGTAACAGTTCATCCGCAAGGGCGCCTTATCTAACGCACGTGATGCAGCTGGCGGCGGAATTCGATTGTTTCGTAAAACAATGGCTACGCTGCACGAGCTGCATCGAGAGAGCGACATGAGGTTGACTTATCGCTTCCGATGGGCCTCGTGGACTTTCGCTCGACTTGATCAATACCGATAATGACATTGCGAGGTGTCTGATAAGCAGCTTCATATGGAAGGGTATAAGAACCATCTTATGCCACCGCCGACATAAGGGTGCATTGAAAGAGTATAGCTCCCCACCAGGTAAGTCTGGCAGCGACCAACGGGTTCCTCACTTTATGTGCGCAATCGCTTGCAAGGCGTTGCTCTTTTGCCGGTTTCGTTTGATGCTCAACCTTTATTACTCACGTATTTTCACAGATTCCTTGCTTACCTATACGCTAAAAGTGGTCAGTATCATGGTTGGCTCAAGTTATTCCTGCCATCCTAAGCTAACAGAGCATGGCGAACACAGCTCGTTTGACGATTCTAAACTGACGAAAGGAATTTCGTCTTGTCCAAGATGTACACGGTACTCTACTTAATACCGGGAAATAGTAACTTGCTTTGACCATTTTTGTCGTATAATTTACGTTCATACATTACAAACGTATTGTTGTTTTGAGTCTTCCATGTACAATTTGTCATTTTTCAGTTTTTGTGTTCAAATTCGTGTTTATAATTTTTTTTCGTACCGTGCAATACGCATTTCTAAAGATCAATGCTGCATCTTGGCGCCTACTAGCGAGTGCTTTTCTCGGAGCTGAGTGTAGCTCGAAAATTGCACTCTGCCTAATATGTCACTGTATGAAACATAACTCAAATAACATAAGAGTAGCCTAATAAGTAAAACTAACGCAATAATGCTTAAGACTCCAGAATTATGAATTGTTCAGGTGATGTCTTACGCTAAAGCAAAAGTGCAGCTTAAACTGCATTCATTCTATGTTTAGGTGGGGCTTCCTTGTGGCGAGATATTAGGTTCAATGTTAGTCTAGTTACACAAGTCTTATCTAAGTGTATTATCATTTCATATTAAGTACAAAGAAAAAACTCCACTGAAACGCACGAATAACGTTTTTTTATTGCAGGTGAATCTTTCTTGCGTCAACCATGCTTAGATTAAGCGCACTTTGCGCCATTGTGGCGGTAACTGTTGCTGCAAGCTCTCAAGAAATCCTACGCACCCAATGGGAGGCATTTAAAACTACCCACAGTAAGTATTTTTTTCAGTTAACAATTTCGTTCTCTCAACCATACCTTAGAATTTTCTTCCTCTATGAAAGCAAGATGTGTCTTACGTTCTACACCTTTACACAAAAATACATACTTGGGCTGTCCTTCTGCAGCGTAAATATACATTCCTCATCTATTCTTCATCGTTTCTTCCGGGTCACAGAGTTCGAATACTAATATTCATGACACAACACTGTAAATACTAACGTAGCGAGACGAACTATTTCTTTAAAAAGGAAACGCGAGAAAGCTGCGTAAAGGTTGTTGTTCCATGGGAGAACTGGTCAATTGTACGTCATTCTAACCTATGTCATTTGACGCACCTAGATTACGTAGAGAAAGCCGGTTGTCGAAAAACGGCACAAAGCACGTTTAACGTGAAATTCGAATCACGCGAAAAAATGCAAACAAAAATGTTGCAACCATATTATTGTCTATCTATCTATCTATCTATCTATCTATCTATCTATCTATCTATCTATCTATCTATCTATCTATCTATCTATCTAGGCATTCGGCCATGCACTATTCAATGGACAATTAAAAAATTATCTGTCTGTCTGTCTGTCTGTCTGTCTGTCTGTCTGTCTGTCTGTCTGTCTGTCTGTCATTATAAAAACTACGAGACATCATTTTATGTATCTATAGTCAGATAGAACTTGACAGTTCTGCAGTGAACTGTTCTCAAAGGTGGATGCACATGACTACAAAATAATGGGCACTCGCTTCATGCTGGCAGCATCAATCATACGGCCATTAACGCCATTAACCTTGTCTTTCGAGACAAGTCGTGAAAGCATTTCTTCAGTCGTGAAAGCAATAGGATACAATGCTTCAGTCATCAGTGTTGGCCAATCTTTGAACTTATTGCGTTGTATACGACTACAGAAGCAATTCGTATTCTGACAAGCAACCTAGAAGCTGCAGTAAAAAGAACCCGTTAGGCAAATAAAAACATACTCACAATGTGGCTCGTATAGTCCATTCAGTGAAAGTTTTATGAATTCTACTAAAAAAATAAGTACCTTAAGGTGGATCCTAAAGTGCTATGCTATCGCAGCATTCGAGAAAAATATGTTCAGTTTGGTGCTTAATCCAATTTTCCAGAAAAATCCTACCAGTCACACATGGAGGAGCTCCTGAGGTTCAAGATTTTCACGGAGAACAGCCTAATCATTGCCAAGCACAACGCTAAGTACGCCAAGGGTCTCGTTTCTTACAAGCTCGGAATGAACCAGTTCGGCGATCTGGTGAGGAAAATTGTTACGTTGAATAGTTTTTTGTTCAAGCAACTGGAAGTCCCCTGTAATACTTGTAATACGTTGTATGAGAAAATTCACAATAGCTATCTGGTCACATTTGTTGATAAGAAGGACTTTGCCCATTTTGGTTTATTTGTTTAATGTGGGAAAGACCCAGAACTATCTTTGCCTGCTTTGTCGAAACGTACGCTGTTCCACAGGTTGCGCAGAATATAATTGATCAAACATAGAAGCCCACAAACGTTATATTGTATGTGCTGTTAATTCTGCACTAGAAGCGGATTTACTCTAATTATCACCTCCTAATAATTAGTCTGGTGACCTCCGATTAGCATGAAGGACAGCCCACTAGAGCTAACTTAACCAAATGGCTACACGTACTATCCGCGTGAGTAAAAAGCCTGAAATACAAATTACCAAATTTGCAATAAAATGTGCCAGACCTCAAAATTATTGGTATGCATATTCTGACAGTGTTAACAGTAAAATATTGCAATTAGAGAACACTAACGGCTTTTTGTTGGTAGGTTAGCAAATGCATTTATGGTTTTGTTTATTTCTGAACAACACAATTGCGGCCACCGATAACCATAAAGAGCCGTCTTTCGTTCTTTTATTTAAGACAACCACCAGTTACGGATGTGAGGCTTCAGAAGGAATAGTGCGTGTTGAGAGTTTTCTAAAAAATGAAATGTAGGACGGAGGTTGTGTCTGTTTGATGCTGATATTCTCACAGTAGTTCAAGAAAAACTACGTTTCGCTCAAAAAGTTGGCCTTTCTCTTGAAATCGTGTACAGTTGATGGAGCAGAAAATACCACTTTTTCGTTATATTTGAAGATTCAGCACAACATAAGTGATAGAAGTTCAACATGATGCCTGAGTTTAAATTGAATAAATTAATGGTAGACTAGAGACTCATAGTAAATCAGTTTAGAAGTGCGAACAGGGGCGCAAGACCACAGAAACTCGGTTAGTGTTGCCCAGAATTTTCTTGTGTTGATGTTTGCACGTCTAGTGCCTAATATTATGCTTACGTTGTCTCGTATCAAAAGTTAATCACACAATGCAGACGATGCCCTCATTTCTTTTTCTCAGTTAATTCCGTCGGGTAACCGCGAAGCTCACGTCGAAATCGTAGTGTCATTGAGTAACGATACCTCTCTCTTTTGTTTTCGCACAAAGCTGGCACACGAATTCGCCAGGATCTTCAACGGTTACCACGGAAGCCGCAAATCCGGTGGATCTACCTTCCTGCCACCAGCAAACGTCAATGACAGCAGCCTGCCAAAAGCTGTCGACTGGCGCAAAAAAGGAGCTGTCACACCCGTCAAGGACCAGGGACAGTGCGGGTCCTGCTGGGCCTTCAGCACTGTGAGTTCCTGCTTCATTGAAACATTTGTAACAACTTCATGAATAGTCCATGCAATTTAGCACTGAGGTTGTCACGATGCAATATTATAAATGCAGTGAGACACACACAGCGCTTGTCTAGTTCGAATTTCATCCCCATGATTGGTGTTCGGTGCTCTGCACGCACATCTAAGTGAGCGTGTGAAGCGTTCTTAGCTCAAGTTGCAGGGTTAAAAAAGATGGCTACCAGCAGCCGGCATGTAACAATACAACGGCTAATCAAATAAGAGGAAAACAAAACATCCAGAAACTTTGCCAGTGTACTCCTTCATTAGTTAGGCGAAGCGAGGCTGCGTACAGCTAGCCAGATAATGATACGCAACAAAAAACTTTCAAGAAAAAGACGTGCATATCGAATTGTTTACACCGAACAATCAGCGGGCAACATTCGGCTTGACCGTTGTATCGCTCATCAGCTACTCTTAAAATGCAATAATTAGAAACCTTTCGTGTATTTGTTTTCGATCGCGAACAAAACATTGATTTTTTTTTCACAGACTGGATCTCTGGAGGGGCAGCATTTCCTGAAGAACGGGGAGCTCGTTTCCCTCAGTGAACAAAACTTGGTTGACTGTTCTCAGTCCTTCGGCAACAACGGCTGTGAGGGTGGTCTCATGGAGGACGCCTTTAAGTACATCAAGGCAAACGATGGTATCGACACGGAAAAAAGCTACCCATATGAGGCTGTGGTAAGGAATTGTATTATGTTTGTTAAATTCGGCTATCTGGAAGTTCTGAAAACGGTTCTGACTTCTAAAAACAGCATAGATCACGCAGGCAGCCATGAACATATGGAATGAGCATAGTGGGTGGCATAATCAATCTCGACGGTGTAAGATGTATTACTGCGAAGCGGCTTGACTGACGGACAATATAATTCCACAATGATTCCGCTCGCTGTTCAGAACTTTTTGAGCTAATAAGGCATAGTAGATGACCGGCTTTTTACTAACCCAAGGTTCTTGCTAAACACGAGATCGTGCGACCATGGACGATGCGCTGTGCCACAAAACACTTTTATGCTTTCCTTGACACACACAGGCCGTCATATTTTGTGTGCCGTAGTTTACACTGTCCACGTTTCTGTCTGGATGCACTTCTGTTTCTATGCAAAGCCTAAATTCATCGCTTTCCCTTAACCTCTATTCTAGTCTCCTCCGGCGCAGAGCATCCAGATCGGCTTGGCCTGGTTTAGCCGTTCTCTTTACTGGCCTCAGCCTTTCTCAGAGTTTAAAATTGCCCATACTCTTTTATAACGATTGCTTCAAGATATAAGCCAGCATTGTCGGGCATCCTGTAAGAGACAATTTCTGGCTAAGTAAAGGAGGCATTTGTCAAGTACAAGTTTCCCAGTGTGCGAGGACTGTTGTCCCACAATGTTTAGCCGACATCTTGAGGTGATTTGAGCATTGTCGTAAGTTGTTTGTGGGTCCTCATATAACAGAGTATGCTTGCGCGCAGGATGGCGAGTGTCGTTTCAAGAAGGAAGATGTTGGAGCAACCGACACCGGCTATGTGGAAATCAAGGCGGGTTCTGAGGATGACCTGAAGAAGGCCGTTGCTACGGTCGGCCCCATCTCTGTGGCTATTGACGCTAGTCACTCATCATTCCAGCTGTATTCCGAAGGTAAATACGTATATGTGCAGTCAGTGAATAGTGCTTAAGAAGTGATACGCAGGATATTTCGCAGTGGTCCGAAACACTTACGTAACTTTTCGAGTTTAGGTTCCCTTAGTAAGCAAATGGCTCTATTTCATACAAAATGCATCCAGTGAACACTGAGGCCATATTTCTACAAGTCTATTGCTGAACCCGATCGAATAGCGATATTTAGAGACGTCACGCACCACTACTTACTATCATTAGACTGTGTCAAGCTAGATATTACGGTTGTCGAGTGCTTTTTTCACCAACTTCGATCGCAAAATTATAGCAGATACCCAGGGCATACTGTGGCCTTCATGCTTATTAGTTCATGTCATAGAAGTTCCTTCATCAAACTGAAAAGGCTTTTTCAGATGCTTATTTGGTCGCCATTTTTCAGTTTATTGGTAATGAAGAGTAACATGACACTGCACGTGAGCAGCAAAATAATTTTCTCATTTCTTAATAAAAAACGTTTCTGCTGACCACTATTACACTGGCTAAAAATGGGACTATTCCCGAAAGAAATTGAGCACTTTCATAATTGTTATGCAACTTATGCTAAATTCCTGTCATCTGTATATTGTCATCTGCATACCATCGTGTAATAGGCTCAGCGCGGCACAGTACAAACAGTCAGAGTGTGTTTGAGTATACGTATACGTAAGACGTATCGACAAGAGGCACTTATTGGCTAATAGTTGCAATGCTGATGTATTGGTGTGTCCCTTGCTACACAAAGGGAGGAACTCGAATTGCGTAAATAAAAAAAAGGGTATGGCTTCTTATTTTTTCAAGCTAACGATATTTCTAAACTGTGTTCCAGCTACTGCTCCCGGAAAACGTCAATTTATGCATTTTTTCGGCACTCGTCTTTCCAAGCAAATAGGACACGCAATAGAAATTCTACTTGTGTTCTCACTAATTTCTGCGCGCCGAATTAAGGCAGTTTTTGCAATGTTTTCGCTAGCAGCCATTTACCAAGTGAAATCGACTCGTACGATTCACAGGGAAGCGACCTTCACGCAGCGAGCTTTATCGTGGCTAATTAATTGCACGTGCCTGCATTTCGTTGAATGTGCCAAGCACATAAAATGCTAGAAATGCAGTCATGCTAGAAATTCAAACGCTACAAATGCAGTCATGCGCAGGTCATCCCATAAAACGGTAGCTTGTCACACTCCAGAAGAGAGAACGAAACACTATGAAACAAGGAGGTTTTAGCACCGTTGCTACCTTATCAGAACGAACCGATGACACGCACTTTCTTCCAGTTCAGCGTGTGCCGTTACCCAAGCGTAATAAACAAAACACCTCAAGCGAAATGTAGGCATAAAGTTCGTTGCGTGAAAGTAGCTGCAGCCTGAAGCGTACGAGTCGCGCTCACTTGGTCGACGGCTGCAAGCAGAAACGTTTGCACCAACTGCCTTGCTTCGGCGTGCAGGAATTTATCAGAACACAAGTACAACTGCTATTGCATATCTTACTTGCTTAGAAAGGAGAACGAAAACGTGTGTTTTCGGAGCACATGCCGGAAAGGCTATCCGCTGTAAAAAGAAAAAACAACAACTGCAGATTCCACCTGCTTTGGGAATCGACGTTATGTGAAGAAACGTATTTTAATATTTTTACTGAGTGACTTGTCATGAAATGAACCTAAGTTTTTTCTATAGATGTCGCACGCACAGACTTAGATTGAAGAGATGCAGGTGTTTATATAACAAGTTGTTTGCACGTGCGCAACTGTGACAACAGGGTCATTAGTATTAGCAACACCAGAAGCGATATGCTCATATGAAGCGCTGGTGCTCACGAGGATGGTACCCCTTGAAACCGTTGTGTAAATTAACTTCAGCGCATTACACCCAACTACAATTGATGTTCATTTGTCGGGACAGTTGCTTTTTAGAAGTACATATGTAATGGTTGTAAAATTGAATAGCCATTACCGCAACCACAATTGACGTTTCACAAACACTGGGGTCTATTTGAAAAGTACTTCCGAGACTTGGCGTTGCTCTGTAGTAGAATGCCTGATTGCCATGCAGAATGCTTGGGCTTGATTCCTGCTGGGACCCTGACATTCCTTCTTTGAATTCGTCGGGTCAATGCCACTAGAGTCAGGGTTTTCTTAACGCTCACGCGCAAAAGTTTCCTATGTGTGTTCTCATCATTTCTGGTCATCTGTTAGTGTATATCACCGGTGGCCCATACCCGCATAACAGTGCCACATACACGCTCACGGGTAGGCGCCACTATCTAGCGGGAAGTGTTTCACGACGTTCGTGGCAGGATTATGACATTATTCGTGTCTTGACCAGCGCGTCATAGTTGTCAAACTATCTTGCCCGCCCAACTAATTTTGACTCACGGGTCACGTTAAGGAAGTGATAAGAAGAGCACCCACATCTAAGTGGATAGATAAACAGATATACAGATAGTAGCAAAAAGTGCTTGCAGTACAAAAAAAATGTTTCGCAATTTTTAGCAGGCGACAACGTTTATGGCTTACCTTTTTCCTTCAGCATTCAAATTTCCTCTCGATGTGCTGCAATTAAGACACAGAGCAACACGTTGGCATTGCGATTATCAGCTAATACACGGCTCACGTCGATACGCCTTACGTATACGTGAACGCACGTGGACCTGCCCGGACTGTGCGTACTGCACCGCGCTGAGCCTCTAACACGGCGGCCATGCACACAATGGTCAACAAATGGCAGCAATTTCACACAAGGTCTATACAGCAAAGGCCTGTGAATTCTTGTAAACTTCCAGTCTCTGGCTGATTCATGAGGCCAGCAAGCTGTGAAAGCTATCTTTTCGTTTCTGTAAGTTCCCTTGATGACTAGTGGAGAACGTATCGGTTTTTTTTTCTTTTGTTGGGTTATTTCAGGAGTGTACGATGAGCCCGAGTGTAGCAGTGAAGACCTGGACCACGGTGTACTCGTTGTCGGCTATGGTGTTAAGGGTGGGAAGAAGTACTGGCTGGTCAAGAACAGGTGAGAACAATACCAGTCCTCGTGAATTTTCTAATAGACTCACATCAAGTCATGCACGCTCTTTGAGTCAGTATATGCTATGCAATTTTATGCATTATTTTGTTGCTTCCCGAATTCAAAGTCTTAAAGGAGTGACATTTCACGGCCATTTCAATACTTCTGCCTCAAACGATCTTTCCCCCAGTACGACCTTCGACCTGGTGCCTCTTTTTTGTTTACATTTTATTCTCTAACATATTGCAGCTGGGCTGAATCCTGGGGAGACCAAGGCTACATCCTTATGTCCCGTGACAACAACAACCAATGCGGCATAGCATCTCAGGCCAGCTACCCCCTCGTCTAACAGCTGATTTCTCGTAGTCACGTTCTTTTGAAGATATCGTGAAGTGTACATAAGTTATTCGCCTAAATAAAATTTCGAGATTTCACCACTGTAAAATGTTGTACTCCTCTTTTTACTGCTTTGTAAACGGAGCAGTCGCAGACTATTTTAGCTCAAAATAACATACTGCTCCGGAACGTTAACTGTATATCAACGTGGGCAACCTATTGAATGGGGTCGACATGCTTCAGCAATTCGGTAATAGGATGGATGGCCGGGTGACCGAACATTATTAAAGTCCTCCAGGTATATAGCTCGGCAATAGGTCAACTCACAAAGACTCCCTCAAGAAATTTTTCTTGCGTTTTGAACTCACTCGGACTAAGATTATAACCAATATTTTCCTGAGCCAGGCTCACTCGGACTTACACTTCATAAAATTTTAATCAACTGAACTCTCTCGTACTCACCAAAATACACTCGGCCGGGTTCACTAAGACTCAGACCTATGGTTTGATCTCAGTCTGAATGAGTTCGAGTCAGTAGACTCATGAGAGAGTTCGCCCACCCATGGTCTGGTGCCACTTGTTTTCTAGCTCGAAGTGGGTTGCTGTCACATTGCGACTGAAAACCTAGCCTTTCGGCGGCTTTGAAGGCCCGTTGGACTGTTCATAACTGTCCTAATGAGGGACTGCGTAAAGTCTTTTGTGTCCCGTCACTTATCTGTGTTTTCCTTATCACTGCACAAAGGCGCACCAACGCCAGAACATATCAGATCTACGGTGTCTTGGCATTCATCGCACGTTGTAGGAGTAGAGAATTCCGGATAAATATAGTTTATTAACAGTGGGTTCATATAGGTTATTGTTGCCTTACGGCCTGAGATTTATTTAGTTTACTATGCCGAGGGGGGATGACTCTGCGTCCTGGGTAGATGAGCTTGATTAGGTTGTTTCTCAGCATGCTCTTGGCTTAAGGCTGCACGGTTTGCAAGTCCCAGTGCTACAGTGTGGGTAGCTTCGATGCGGTTCACAGGAGCACTGGTGATTTTTTGCATGAGAGTGGGAAACCATATGGTCGTGTGTAATTTGTTTCCCTTTCCTCTGAAAACTACTAGGTCTGACTAGGAATGAATTCTCTGATATAGCAACTATTATATTTGTATTGCTCGCAGACTAGGGCTCAAATTATCACTGTTCAGAAGCATACAGAGGGCGCAATGAAGGCGACGTCGTTGTTCAAAGACTTTATCGTGTTCTATGCCCGACTGTCCCTGTGCGTTTTAATGCGTGATAGGTTAGAACTGTTAACAGGTCACTCTTACTTTTTATCCTTCAATTCTGCTGCAGTGGACCTTCCTGTATTATATATTACACCAAGACGTACAAAGGTATCGAAAACGCTTTGCGGTGTTGGTTTTATAAAATAGCAGTGGCATATTAATTCTCAAAGTCCTACTTGTGTAGCTTGGCACTTCGCCTGCTACTTTATTTTTGCATTTTCCGACGATAGTACTAAAAGCTCGTTTTGACTAAATGCCAGTTTCGGTGGTGGTTGTGAGTGAAGGTGCAGCGTTGACCGTGAACGAAAATTGAAGCAAGAGAGAGAGAGAGAGAGAAAAAGAAACAGAGAGGAAAAGCAAGGAGGTTAGCCAAGCTTGGCTCGGTTGGCTTGGGGTAAAGGGGGAATGATAGAAAGAAAAGAGATAGGAAAGAAAAGGAGTGAGAAAGACCAGGATAAATAGTCAGCTCGAGACTACACAGCACAGTCTCACGCTGATCTTTTACAAGTTCTTGTGAAGTCCCGTGGTCCTTAAGAAGCACAAGAGGGCTTTCGTGGCTTTGTGCGTATGCGAAACTGTCGGCCAAGGCCCAAGATCTTTTCTGTAAGTGGTCGTGAATCCAGCTTACGCAGCTTGGCTTCCATAATACGTCGTTCAGACTGGTATTCTAAGCAGTGGCATAGAATGTGCTCAAGCGTCTCCTCGCAGGCGCAAATGTTGCATGCCGAACTTCTCGCCATTCCATGAAGACAAGAGTACGCATTCGTGAATGCCACGCCCAACAACATGCGGCACAGAAAAGCTTGAGCGCGTCGTGGGAGCCCGAATGGCAAACGAAGTTGCAAGTTTGGGTCATTTGAATACAGGCGCGCGTTGGAGAAACCCGGAGTATTCAATCGTAGGATAGTCATACGGAGAGCATGTGATTGTAGTCGCCTTTCAGCACCCGTTCTCAAGAGTGGTATTGGAGCACGCACGTCTTGGTCATGAGCCAATCGAGCAGCTTCATCCGTGTGGTCATTGCCGACAATTCCACAATCACTCGGCAACTATTGAGATACGATATCATGACCTTCCTCGAGCGCTTCGTGGTAGTCATGCCTTATCTGATTTACTGATTTTTCGTGTAACCCGTTCTTTATAGCGAGCCGTCGTGTCTGTAAGGCTAACCTCGAGTCGCAAAAGATGGCCCATCGATTAGGTTGCTGCCGAAGAATGTACTTGACTGCACCTTGATGTGCTGCGAGTTCTGCTGCTGTCGACGTCGTGGTGTGAGAGAGCTTATATTGAAGCAACACATTATCAGATGCAACAACCACTGCTCCTGTGGAGCTGTTGGAATGATTGGAGCCATCGGTGTAAAAATCTACGCGGTCAAAGTACGTTTCGTGCAACAGATGCAAAGTCAATCGCTTCAGGGCTAGCGGTGACATGCCTGCCTTCTTAACGGTCCCAAGAAGCAATAAGCGCACGTTACGTTGACGGAGACTCCATAACGCAGATTCTGGATGCATCGCAGGTTTGAAACCAGGTGGTAATATGTCCTAGTGATTCGTCACAATATCGCAGAACGAAGCATTGGGGCTCCGCACTGTCAAGCACGCTAAGTGATATGACGGAAGCCGTGATAATTGCCGAATGTGCGCTCTCATCGTATCGACAATGATATACGTTGAGACCGGCTGTTCTTGTGTGACAACAACAGTTGCCACTGTCGACGAGCATCTTGGAAGGCCAAGACATGGCCGAAGTGCTTGGGATTGTACGCTCTGTAGTGCATGGATGTTAGTCTTGCACGTGTTGAACAGGGCAGGAAAGCTGTAGAGCAGGTGTCCGAGAAAGACGGCTGTATAAAGCATGAGCATGGAGTGCACGGAGGGGCCCCATGATTTTCCGGCAATAAACTCGAATACATTCCCAATGCCAATGAGCTTTTTCTTCAGGTATGTGACATGTGGACTTAAGGTTAGGTCACTATCAACGATGACACCCAAGAATCTATGACCTCTCTTATATGCAATTGATCACAATGGGTAGGAAAACATCGGTTTATGTGTAAACGCCACCGCTACGCATTTTTATGTGGTGAAAGTCAAACCTTGCTGGCGAAGGTATGCCGCTGTCATTGTTGCGCCTTCTGTAACCTTGCGCGACCTTCAGGCCGCGTCACGCCGGACGCCCAGATGCAGATATCATCAGCGTAAAAAGATATATAAGGCGTCTGTGGCAGCATTTTGGTGAGCCCCACCAGAGCCAGGTGTAAAAGAGTCGGACTCAAAACGCCACTTTGGTGCACCCTACCACTTGTGAATTGCTTATTCGTAGGCCCATATTCAGTTAGAACAAACATGGATCTGTTTGTAAGGTAGCTTCTTACCCATTGAAAGACATGACCTCCAAGTTCAGCTGCTTCGAGAACATTGAGGACAACCTCATGGGTCACGTTGTCATAGGCACCTTTCACGTCTAAGAACGGAGCTACCGACAGCCGCTTCTTAGCTTTCTATTGTTGAACAGAGGTCACTAAGTCGATGACGTTATCGCTTGAACACCGAACTCGTCGAAAGCCAGCCAGAGCATCAGGATAGATGTTACAATGTTCCAGGTGCCATTTCATGCGTGCCCGCAGCATCCTCTCGCGGAATCAAATCCCAGCTGCGGCGGCTGCATTTCCGCTGGAGGCGGAAATGTTGTAGGCCCGTGTGCTCAGATTTGGGTGCTAGTTAAAGAACCCCAGGTGGTCGGAATTTCCGGAGCCTGCCACTGCGGCGTCTCTCATAATCATATGGTGGTTTTGGAACGTTAAACCCCACATTTCAATCATAAATCAAATCAGCAGCATCCTCTCCATGACCTTGCTGACTCAGCTTGCTAGTGATATAGGTTTGTGTGATGCCAGATTCAATAGAGACTTTCCGGGATTCAAGAAAGGCACCAGATGACTGCAATTCCACTCATCAGGCACTATATACCACCGCGCCAAGACCTATTGAAAATGTACAAGAGACAGCGTTGTGCCTTCATGCCTGGGTGACGTAGGGCAGCATAGGTCACTCCATCAGGACCTGGGGATGATGAGTGCCTGCAGTTGTTCAATGCTGCGTGAAGTTCTTCTATAGTGAATGCACCCTTCACTTAATGATCTCATGCGACTGTAACGTCCTGTGGCAATAGGTTGATCGGTCTACATATGTCCCCGGCAATCTTTGCACAAAATTTCCCAGAAACATCAGGCTGTGAGTGACGTTGGTGTAGCGCTAAAGCAGCGATGGAATGACGTTGTTGCGGACGCGAGCAAATGCCTCGAAGAGTTCTACATACGGAAAACAGTGGCTTTCGTGGGTCTAGCGGGTCACAAATACTCTTTCACCGTTGTTCCTGGAGTTTGCGCAGTCGACGCTGGATTTTCTTCTGAATGCGTCTGAATTTTTTGAGGTAATAGATAGATTTCGTGTGCCTGTATCGTCATTCGGTACGCTGGCGGACAGCTCGAAGTTGCTCCAGCTCTTGGTTGAGTGCGGTACGTCTCGATTCTTTTGGACAAATTTTCGTTGAAGTCTCCGTCGCACAACAAATCACTTCTTTGATGGATTCCGGCGGTGCGTGCATGCACTTGCTCTCCACTGATATCTGAAACTCTTCTCGGTCAATAAGTCTTGAGCATCCTGGAGAAGGAGACCCGTCTAGAACTCTTACTGTCACGTACGGGGGTATATTGTCACTGTCGTGGGTTTCAATATCTGTGAACCGTTGAGCTTTCGGGACAATACTATGCGACACTCATGTCAAGTCCAGGCAACTGCTATAAGTTACTCCTCGGAGATAAGTAGGGCTCCCGTCGTTCAGCACCTGAAGCCCGTGCTCTGATGCAAGATCAACTAGGTTCGTACCTCATCGAATTGTCCTGATGCTTCCCCACAGTAGATGATGGGTGTTGAAGTCACCCATAAATATCCAAGGTGCTGGAGCCGTTGCAAATATATGAATTAATATCTCTTGATCAAGTCGACGTGAAAGCGCTGTATGTGCGCCTATCAGCGTAAACAACGACTTATTCTTTTCAACATATATACACACCTAGTGATTTACATTGTTGACTGTACTCTTTGGCGAACATAAGTGAGTTCTTTGCGGACGTACACTGCAACTTGACATCACTCAGTGCACGATGAAGAAACGAACGATTGATAGCCTGACAGTCGAGGTATTTAAAAAAAATGTGGTTCACAAATGACGATGATGCGAAACCCATTCTCAAAAATTAACTGTTTACACTAAGGCATTCTTGACTGTAGCCCTCTAGCTTTCCAATGAATTATAGAAGCAAGCTTGACTTTTTCTCGGAAAGGCTACTGCGGTCTATGGTGTGCCATCTTGTAATGAAAGACCGGCAAGAAGTGGTTCTAGTGTGTCGAAGACTTGGAGCCCGCATTTAGCGGCAGGGATCTGTAGAATAGCCAAGAAAGTGTGGATAGGCTTCTATGCAAATAAGATGCACAATAAATGACAATATAGCTTCATCTAGAAAGGTTTATTCAACCTTGCGAGAACCATGTTCAACGCAGCAGAACAAAAGTGAGTGCAAGGCATAACCACATCACTTGACTTCGGCAAATGGTGAAGCTAACAGTATGGAGGCAGATACACAATCAAATATTTTTTTATTTAAACTTCAGTGCTTTATGTGATTTCAAAAGCCACTGTGTTCCTAAAGATCTCTATTGTAAGGTGCACACCGCTCTATATGCACCATTACCATGAATGTTAAAGTTGTGCTTAAAATGGTAATGTCGCAATTACTGGCCATGTACTCCAAAAAATGGTTATACCGTCAGTTATATGTGTCGTTACTATCTTCAGTATTAGTTCCTTGCAGTGGCTTTACCCCTATTCACGAAACTCTTAGCTTGCGGCGAATCACAGCTGGTACTGTCTAAACCTTAATAGCAATACGAAAGAAAATGAAAACAAGAAACCGTGACATCACTTTTTGCAATTAATAACACGGGATGCTTACAGTTGGACATAAATAGTTGGCAAAGTGCTTTTGTGCTGCTGAGCAGAATAACGTATTTCATATCGCGGTTTATGTAAGCTCAAAACAAGCAAGGCCAGATAGCAGGCGTGAATGCTGAGCAATATTATATTTTGAGAAGAACCTTCGTTTATGCTGTACGACCGAAACCACAAACTACAGTAGAAAACCTTTTTGAATGGCTTGTGTTGCACTGATGCTAGTGCAGAAATTCGCTGATGAGAGAGCGTGTCAGCGTAGCTGCTCGCGCGAAATTTCGCGTTATAACGTGTACGATGATGTGCTGGTCACTAACCAAACTGGTGCACAGATGAGAAGCATCTTAAAGTGAAAGCACTCCTGTTTTTCGTAAAACTTCTGTCTACAAGTGGTAATCGACGTTAATACTTAGTAAACAAACAGATGGAAACGTGACTTCTTAAAGAAAACAACCATGAAGAAATGAACTCTGGTTTTTTTAACATCACTGTATTCATAGTGAAATGTTGAGGTCACTCTTGCTCCAAGAACAGACGTGACAGATGCGCCACACTTTACTCCTATTTACAGCGACAAACTTAGCAGCATAAACCATACGACGAGAATTCTTCTGACCGTAGATTTTCCAGGCGATTAACGATGGATATCGTCACCCCGACAAATGGGCGTCTGTCAGCCTGCAAACAGGCTAAATGTCTGTACAAGCGGCTAAATAAGCTTATCGCAAATCCCCTAGCCAGCTACAAAAAAGCACTGCATTTTTAGTCTCACACGTGGAGCAGGACAGTTTCTGTACTATCTACTTTCATCAGGCGCGTCTTCTCAAAAGCAGACAATTGTTTCATATCACCTCCATTGTCCTGCTTGTGCGATGCGTTCACGTGACTCTTCTGAATGGCGCAAGAAAGAGCTTGGTTATGATAACGCCAATACTCGCAAGAGGTAAGTGACACCTTTTGCTTAAGCCGGTAATTTTCAATATCTTGGGAACAACCGCGAGGAGCACTTTTGGGTTGCATAATTAGGTTTTTTGTGGACGTGCAGAGCATTGCGATTTATTTTTATTGGCATGAAAAACATTTTTAGTTTTCTGTTTATATCTTACGGTGCACTTCTCCAACGGTGCTTTGCACGAAAGGCAGTGAAAATCATATATAAAGAATGTAACGCAGGGCTTTTACTATGAGACATTTGGTTCTGAAAAAAAAAACGCCTATGCAATATGGCTTTCTGATCATATATTACGATGTGTATGTTCCTATCATCAACGAAAACATCTGTCACCTCCATCGGTCTCTGAAAATGTGTGCTTTACACAATAAATTATGGAACATTTATGCAGCATTCAGATAAATCAGAACCAGGATGCAGCAAATGGTCGTGCGATAACGTGTTGGTTCTCGTTAGCCGAGGTGTAACACGCCACCAGGTGACACATTTTGTCCACATAGAAAGGCTACAGACACACCCGGGTATGTGCACGCCCGGACCCAGAAGACCAGCGAAGGGCCGTCCGGCAGCTCGAGGTCGCACTGGCGCTGCAAAGGCGAAAGGGGGACACCCTCAGTAACCCGAGCGGCGACGGGGCACGAAGGCCTTGAGGTCTAGGCCCGCGTGACATTAGGACTTCTAGTGTAACGTGAGATAGGGTGAACCCCACGCCCTGCGCGGCCGGAGGGAATCCCGCATGCTGGAACCCAATAAAGTTTATTCTCTCTCTCTCGAGCATGAGGCCTTCGTGACTTGGTCAATGGAGGTCACAGACGTGTGCACACGCGCATTATGCCTTGGGCTATATGTACTGCATTCGCTCTGTTTTGTTCTTTTATAACCCTGTACTTTTTTATGTCGAGAGCACTGTCCATGCTATAGTTTTTCCTTAATACTACTAATATAAGTATTCGTATTGTTTCCTAACATAAATAAATGCATTCTTAAAGGGAAATATATTTTATCTGTATTTCTTACTGAACACTAAACACACAGACATTGTATTTATTCAACGTACGCCTTTTCACTTTCAGCTCCAATTTTATTTAATCATGAAGTCACCAATGAAGATTCTAATGCCCACCATGCTACTGGCGACAAAGCTGATCTCTGGCTTCTGCTCTGTTGACAAGGAGTACGCAAAAGAAGAGTGGAAAGTGTTCAAGCTTACTCACGGTAAAATATCTCTCACACGAACTAAGCTTCTTCCGATAGACTGTTGGGAGGTGCGAAGTGTATGATTTAATTCGGTTATATTAGAAAAAACTCTGTGTGTTAAACTGCATAAACCTTACACCTCTAATTTCATGAAGTGCTACACTAGCGAAAAAGTCGGTGACTGACATGAATACTGTTTCAACAGCAGAGCTGTAACGCTCAGCATCAAAACAGCTACTCCTCGTAAGAAACCCATTGGCGCCATTGCCTAGCAACCACTCACCCGACAGCCATGCACTTCCTTCCCTCTTTTCGTCTCTCTACAGCACTAGCTGGCGTGACGTGATGGCCAATCGCGTGTTCTAAAGCATTAGCAACGAAAGAGTCACCGCCAAGCCGCCACCAAACCGCACTCGGTGACAGAACGGATGTACGGTTAATTCAGATTGCATGGCAAGACGGCATAAATAATGTTACGAGTAAGTTGTTTAATTATCTATTTACAGCGCACAGAACTCGACGAGTAAGATGGCGCCAGACCAGCATCCAACGGAAAAACCCACTTCGTCCTCCTCTTTCATGCAGCCGTGTTTAGCGGCTGTTTTGTATCATAACCCCCGGCGGTAGAAGCACCGTCCCGGTGCTAAATTTACGCAGATGATGTCGAAGGGGGGTAATAGGGCTTTAGCCGAGCCACGTGAACAATGTCGCTCGGAGCTGACGATGACTTTGTTGGATCAGTTGGAACAATCTCGTACGTGACATCTGTCACTTGGCGAACGATACGGAATGGTCCAGTGTAGGGCGACAACAGTTTTTCCGACAGTCCCACACGCCGAGTAGGTGACCAGAGGAGCACGAGAGAACCCGGAGAAAAGTGCACGTCCCTATAGTGAGAATCGTAGAGCTGTTGTTGGCGCGCCTGTGAAGCCTGTAGACGGTTAAGGGCGACTTGGTGCGCGTGGTCGGCGCGGGCAATGGCTTCACCAGCATATTGAGTGGCCGCAGGTAGTAACGTGTCTAAAGGTAGAGTTGGGTCCCGGCCATATAGTAGATAGAAGGGCGAATATCCGGCAGTGTTGTGACGAGATGAGTTGTAGGCGAACGTCACATACGGCAAATGAATGTCCCAAGCGTGGTGGTCTGGCGCAACGTATTTGGCAAGCATATCGGTTAGGGTCCTGTTAAGGCGCTCCGTGAGGCCATTTGACTGCGGATGGTACGACGTAGTAAATTTGTGCTTGGTATGACAAGACCTCAGGATTTCATGAACGACAGCTGATAAGAACGTGCGGCCATGGTCGGTGAGAAGTTGACGGGGAGCACCATGCACTAATATTATGTCGTACAGCAGAAAGTCCGCCACGTCGGTAGCCCAGCTGGTCGGGAGTGCTCGTGTGATTGCGTACCGCGTCGCGTAGTCCGTGGCAACAGCAATCTATTTATTTCCGGCTGTAGAGAGTGGAAAAGGGCCCAACAGGTCGAGACCAACTCGAAAGAAAGGCTCGTTAGGAACGTCTATCGGCTGAAGGTAGCCGGTTGGGAGGGCAGACGGCGTTTTGCGACGCTGACAGGGCTCACAAGCGGCGACATAGCGTCGAACAGAGCGGGCAAGTCCAGGCCAAAAAAACCGACGTCGTACTCGATCGTACGTGCGAGAAACGCCCAAATGGCCCGTTATAAAAGCGTCATGGAGTTGATGCAGGACAGAGGAACGCAGGTGCGCTGGGATGACAGGAAGTAAGTCTGATCCGAAGGAATCAAGGTTTCGGCGGTATAGGGTCCCGTCTTTCACCAAAAACATTCGTAGGGACGGGTCTCGTGGCGTTGACTCCAGTTTGTCAATGATGGCTCGTAAAGAAGCATCCCGACGTTGCTCTTCGCCAATGTTTAACAGCTGCGACACGGAAAAAACGTCCGTGATAGCGTCGGTATCGGTTGCTTCGTAAACAGGGTAGCGGGATAAACAATCCGCATCCTGATGTAATCGCCCTGTTTTGTACATTACAGAGAACGTGTACTCTTGAAGGCGTAGAGCCCAACGAGCGAGACGTCCCGTGGGGTCCTTCAGGGAGGCTAGCCAGCAGAGCGCGTGATGATCCGTGACAACACGGAATGAGCGCCCGTACAGGTATGGGTGAAACTTGGCGACTGCCCATGCAAGGGCGAGGCAGTCGCGCTCCGTGATGGAATAGTTGCGCTCGGCTGGAGATAGTAGTCGACATGCGTAGGTTATAACACGGTTGTGTCCGCGTTGTTGCTGCAATAGCACAGCTCTTATGCCGTGTGCACTGGCGTCCGTGTGAACCTTTGTTGGGGCTAATGGATCAAAGTGAGCCAAGATTGGTGGCGTTGTAAGCAGTGTCGTAAGTTGCGAAAACGATGACGCTTGATCATGGCCCAAGGTAAACGAGGCGTCTTTCTTCAAGAGGTCTGTGAGTGGGCGTGCAATGGTCGCAAAGTCCTTAACAAAGCGGCTGAAATACGAGCACAACCCCACAAAACTGCGGACATCCTTTGTGGTCCTCGGAACGGGAAAGTTCGTGACTGCACGAATTTTCTCTGGGTCTGGACGCACGCCTTGGGCATCGACAAGGTGACCAAGCACGGAAATTTGGCGACGAGCGAAGTGGCACTTGGAGGCGTTAAGCTGGAGTCCGGCTCGACAAAAAACGTCCAAAATATCTGACAAACCATCAAGATGCGAGTCGAATGTGGGCGAAAAGACAATAACATCATCAAGGTAACACAAGCAGGTGGACCATTTCAACCCTTGGAGCAATGAGTCCATCATTCTTTCAAATGTGGCTGGTGCATTGCAGAGTCCAAAGGGCATCACCTTAAACTGATAAAGACCATCAGGAGTGATGAATGCGGTCTTCTCGCGGTCCATCTCGTCGACGGCTATCTGCCAGTACCCTGACCGAAGATCAATAGTTGAAAAATAGGTGGCACCGTACAGAAAGTCGAGGGCGTCGTCGATGCGAGGTAAAGGATAAACGTCTCTTTAGGTAATTTTGTTAAGGTGACGGTAATCGACACAAAAGCGCCATGTTCCATCCTTCTTTTAAAAAGGACGACTGGAGAAGCCCAGGGGCTGCATCAAGGCTCGATAATGTTTTTCGCAAGCATTTTGCCGACTTCATGTTGTAATATTGCACGCTCCGACGCCGACACACGGTAGAGGCGTCGGTGAATGGGGGTTGCATGGCCAGTATTTATGCGATGGGTGACAATGGTCGTTTGGCCTAAAGAGTTGCTGGCAAAGTCGAAAATGCTACGATAGCCCTTAAGAACGTGGCAAAGCGCTGAAGCTTGCTCAGACGTGAGGTCTGATGACACCATTCGCTCAATGTCGGCACCCCAAGAATGTGATGGACTGGAACCACTGACTGAGCTGCAGCAATCGTCAACTCTGAAAGGCTCGACATGGTCATCTTGGAGAGCAGTAATTTTAGCCAGGGAGATACCCTGTGGCAGAACTTGGGTGGTGAGTGAAAAGTTGACCAGTGGAAGGAAGGTGTGGTTTCTCTTAATCGTCAGAATCATATGCGGCACAGCAACCCCATGCGTAAGCATCACTGCAGGAATCGGGGCCACCATGTAATCACCATCAGGTACTGGCGGCGTGGAGGATAAGTCGACATGTGTGAAGGAGTTAGAAGGGAGACGCGTGAAATCAATGCAGCAGAGGCTGATTTGCGGTGGGCTAGGCGGGTCGGAAAAGAGGGGTAAATCGAGATGGATAGCCAGCTGAACAGTCTATGAGGGCAGAGTGCGTGGCTAGAAAATCCATACCGAGAATGAGTTCATGAGGGCAATGTTCGATAACGGCGAAAAGAACGACAGTGCTTCGCTCCCCAATAGACACTCGCGCAGAGCACATGCCAAGAATTGCGGCAGTTCCTCCATCGGTGACTCGTACAGCTCGGTTGAGGGCGGGCGTGACAACTTTTCTAAGTCGGCGGCGAAGGTTAGCACTCATAATGGACACATGCGCGCCAGTATCTATCAACGCACTGACACGAACATTGTCGACAGTAACGTCCAAAAGGTTCCGGTTCGTTGTTAACGTTAATCGAGGATTTCTTACGAAGGTCGTCAACGCAGCTCCACCTCCAGAAGCTGCACGGCCTAGTTTTCCGGTCGGAGATGCTGCGAATAGGTCGGGGAGGCAGCACGGCGTTGTGGGGGCGACCGGGACTGACGACGAGCAGGGGACGGTGACCGGTTGTAGCGAGGTCTGCTGAGAGGTGCTGTAAGAGCGGAAAATGTGGTCGGCGTTGATGGAGAAAGTGATGGGGACGATTCGCGAGCAGAAGTGGTGTAATACTGAGGTGCATAATGGGATGGTGGAGCCCAGCGGCTGCGGCAGTGACGTGCGATATGACCAACGCGTCGACAGTTGAAACATATGGGCCTGTCATCAAGGGTACGCCATTCGGACGGATTGCGTTGTATGCGAGGAGCAGAAGGGGGACGAAAAGAAGGCGCAGCAGAGTATACGACAGGTACAGGATGTAGGCCGACATTCGATAGCTCTTGACGAACGACGGCTTGTATCAAAGAAATCGTGGTCGGGAAAGGCCTAGGCGTCGGTAGTGGCGTGGCTACCGGTTGTGCTGCCTCGACCTCTCGACGAATGATGCGTGTGAGGTTGTCACATGGAGGGGCCTGGTGGAAGACGTCGTCACACGAAGAGGTGGCCGCTGTGTTCCGAAGGCGCACGATGTTTTGGGCTACACGGCGGGCTTTAGCTTGTTCGAGACGTCGGCATTCTTTAAGAATGTTGTCGATGCTCGAGATGTTGTTAAGAACCAGCAGGTTGAAAGCATCGTCGGCAATGCCTTTCAATACGTGGTTAACCTTTTCGTCTTCGGACATGGACTGGTCGGCCTTGGAACAAAGGGCCAAAACGTCAAGAATGTAGGAGACGTACTATTCGGTAGAAGACTGGGCCCGTGTGGCAAGAGTCTTCTTCGCAGCGAGCTGACGACCAGATGAATCGCCAAACAGGTCACGTATCTTTTCTTTGAAGAGATTCCAGCTCGTTATGTCGGCTTCGTGGCTTTCAAACCATTTTCGGGGAGTGCCGTCCAGGTAGAAAAGCACGTTGGCGAGAATGAGCGTAGGATCCCAGCGGTGAGTTGCACTGACGCGCTCGTACCGCTTCAGCCAAGTGTCGAGATCGATTGTACCATCACCGGAGAGAGTGCCGGGATCCCGGAGGTGCGGGAGTGTGACGTAGGTGGTGGCTTGGACTGACGAGGGCGGCGTAGAGGAAGTACCAGCAGTCGAAGCAGTTGAAAGCTCGCCGATGGTGCGACCGCTGCGCGTCTCCGTCGAGGTACAGAGGTCGTCCGCCTCCACCAATAATGTTACGGGTAACTTGTTTATTGATCTATTTACAGCGCACAGAACTCGACGAGTAAGATGGCGCCAGACCAGCAACCAACTGAAAAACCCACTTCGTCCTCCTCTTTCATGCAGCCGTGTTTAACGGCTGTTTTGTATCAATAATATTAAGAACTTTTTAAAAAAGAAAGAGGAATGGTTCTGTCGCACGCAAAGACAGCTGTATTGCCCTTCACCTGTAAGAAGTAAAAAAATTCCAGTCTCAATTTAGAAGGAAAATCAATAATGATTGCGACACAGCATCGGTTTCCCGAAGTAATAGTTGATAGGCAGCTATCATGGGCACCTCACATAAATAAACTCGAAAACGAGGTGAATGTGCTAGTGAATATACTCCGCAGAATCGCTGGGACATCGTGGGGTGGGTCTGTATCATCCATGCTCGCTGTTTACAATGCTTTAATACGACAAAAAGTTGCATAATCTGCAGCAGTCTTAAACGGCCTTTCCAGCACTTCAGAGGAGCAACTTCAAAGACTGTTAGCTAGAGGACTGCGCGTATGCCTAGGTGTTCTACGAGCGACTTCTAGCAGCCTTGTCATAGCAGAGACTTGACAATCACCCTTTCCAGTCATGAGAACAATTGAAACATGCCACCATTTTTTTTCGCTTACAGACGCAACACAAGGAACACCCATTGGTACTGGAGATTTCACAAAGGGATAAAAGCAATACTCATGAATAAATACAGAGTAATGTACATATATTACCAAAAATGAATTTTGTAGCTCTGAAATGGATTATACTCCACAGCTGCTTGCAATACCAAGCATTGATTCTCAGTGAAAGGCATTATCAGAAAGAGAGACATGTTTATCCAAGCTGCTCAACAACTTGCGCTTTACCAGATATACATGCGGTACCGGTAAGTAATAAGTGATAGTATGACATACAAAACGCTGAAAGAGCTCACCAAAGCAAACAAGGCGCAACATGAGATCAAATTCCAGTGGATAACTGGCCATTGCAACATTCCTGGAAACACAGCTGCCGATGAAGCAGCACGACAAGCACATCGTAAAGACGCTACTGTTTCTTTACTGATTTTGAAAAATGAATTGCGTAGTATTATGAAGACTACAAGTTTCAGAATGAGCAAAACTGCTTGGTTTGACCAAGATACAAAGAGCTGTGATTTATATTACATCGATTCATTTTATGAATTCAAAACTATGCTGGCATTAGATAGAAGTACAAAAGCTCTAATTCACTGATTGAGGCTAGCCAGCGCATACACAAACCATTTTTCGCACAGAATTGGCAGAGCTGAAGCTCCCGAATGTGGATGTTGATTTATAGACGAAGACGTATGTCACCTTCTCATAAACTGTCAACATCATGACACGCCGAGACGCAATCCTAAATCGAAACTGTTGGCATTAGACCGCAGACCATTTAGCATGAAGAAACTTCTGGGTCCGTGGCCAACTGGAGTTTTACAGTCGCGTGCTTTAAAAGCATTAACACGTTTCTTACAAGACAGTGGAATTGCTGACAAGTACAAAGAAATAACGAACTTTCATTTGTATAACAAATGTACTTATAATGTGCAGTATCACGTGACACCCATCATATGTGTTACTGAAGTGAATGACGTGTCGACCATTAAGTAAACACGATCAAATATATCTTCATAAGGACTAGGCGTGTGCTCTCCTGTTTTGTGCTGGTTGGACCGAATATTAACGAAGCACATTATCAGAGACTTCATTCTTTGACTTTCGAACATTTCCTTGACATTTTGTTGTGATATGTGCGTATAAGTGTATCTTTGCGTATCTATGCCTGATTGTTCTATTTTCCATGCACTGCCTTGTATGTTTTACATTAAGATACGTGTTCAAGTTGCACTCAAGGGCTAAGGAGAAGCTGGCACCATATTTGTGCGCCAGCATCTGCTTATATATCACATCAATAAAAAAGGGAAAATTGGTTTCCCCTTCTCTATGCTGCATCGCCTAGCTAGAGTGTATCCTAGCTACCTCGACAGCTAATGTGACACCATGCCAACCCGCACTTGCACCATAAGAACAACTGCGAAGGAGCACCGTCGAAGCTACCGAACTTACCAAGTATGACCGCACCAAAATTGAATGAAAAATGAACTAGTGATACGTCACGCATAGACCTACTGTCCACGTGAGTGTCCTTGGAATCATTACGATATCGACGCGCCTGGTCGTGTGAGGCAGCGTGTTGCATGGTTCATCCGAGGAAGAACCGCGCCCTCGAAGGAGAAGCTTTATATTGCGAGGTTCGATGTGCTGCAAAGCATTGACTGATATGTGGGGTTTGACTCACCAAAACCACCGTATGATTATGAGAGACACCGTAGTGATGAACTCCGGAAATTTCGACCATCTGGGGCTCTTTAACGTGCATCCAAATCTGAGCACAAGGGCCTACAGCATTTTCACCTCCATAAAAAATTCAACCGCCGCAGCCGGGATTTGATCCCGCGACCTGCAGGTGAGCAGCCGAGTACCTTAGCCACTATACCACAAGCAGTGGGGTGGGCTGCAGAGCAAGAACGAGATCAACGGTGCTGACCCAGCCAGACTAGTTGAAGGAGAAAGCGGCTGTTATGAATCGAAATATGTGGGCAGTTTAAGAGCCATAAAAAGAAAAAGTACATTATTGCTTAAGTCAAATTTGAAACTTAGCATTTACCAAGCAACACAGCATTAGCCGATAAAGCCTCCTACATGCTCGTGCACGTAGGAGGCTCGTGCTCGTGCCTCCCGCCCTTCCTTCCTCCTTTATTTGTAAAAAATCGAGCAGCTTCGCTATTATGAAGGTTTGCATGATGGTTTACAAGCTTCAATTTTTCAATCAATCTATGTGTAGAGTTTAACGTCCGAAAATGCTTCAATTTTTCAGCAAAGAGAATCGAACATGCCTACTGACGTGAAGGCGTGTTGTCAGAAGTTAAGAAAAACAAACCCTACTGCAAAAGAAAGCATATTTTGCTGTGAGTGCTGTTATTTTCTCTATAATTGAGAATGAGTCATGAACTCCCGTATTCGAAGTTGATTTGAATACATGTTGGTGACAAACGAAGTGAACAGAAGTCGAAAGAAGCAGTGACTGCCAACTAAACAATACTTCACCTAAGATTACACTTGCTATTTTTGTAAGTTGAGGACAAAGAACAAAGAAGCGTGTAAAAAAGTCAATGGCTATTTATTGGGATTCACGAAAGAGGCTCTCAAGCATTACTTGAAGCACCTTTCGAACTTCGTACTGGTTGTACCTTGCAGGCTTGCTTTGCATTACGTCACTTCATACCTCAAGTTTTGTCACGTGATACCCAGTGGCTCAATCTTCGTCATAATTTGTCTTCCGGATTTTACTTGTAATTTGGAGCACCTTTTGATGACCACTTGCAGTTTAGTTTACTCCCTTCCCTCTAAACGTGTATGCAGTTTATATATCTGTACTTCAGAGGTGCTTTACAGCGACCTTAAACACGGTTGCGTTCTTTCCTATGGCCAACGCTTTCATATTAGGCATAAATGCCGATACAATTGGTAACACTCATACATGTACCAAAGATACACTTTCACAGCCAAACATAGCTAAAACATTTCTTTCATAACTTTCTCTTTTAAAATGGTCGTATAATCAGCACACTAACCTTGTAAGAGAAGGACTTCCAGCCTTGTGAAGACACGCCACCTTAATTACCTTGCAGATGTTGTGGAATACCTCACACATCACGTCTTATGTCTTGGTATCTTTGGGAATACAGCCATTCATTACAGATAACTTTTTTTAAAACAGCGCAACTAAGTCTTCTCACTACGGGCATAAACGTTGTCTATATATACTCGCAGTGAAGTCTACTTATAGCGGCGTTACACGTTCTTATGCTCCGACCACAGGACGACATTGCTGAGCACGCGGCGCCTTGATGGCAAGATGGCACGGTTGTGTGTTTAAGCCTTTTGTTACATATTATTGAACATTATGACTCTCATTGATTGCAGACGATTTTCCGGTACCGCACAATTGTGGTGCTTTAGGCTAGGCCAAACGTCTTCAACGGCAGAGCTCCCTATGTCCGCAGATAGGCGGAAGCTGTTATGTTGTACGACGAAGCAATTCTGATTTTGTCAATAACGGCAATTCATCATTGCTAAGGTTGTTTAATGAATGAAACCCTTATGAAACAGCCTGAGCATTGATGAGTTGCAGCATTCTGACAAAATTAGAATCGCTTCGTCATTCAACGTTACAGCTTCTCTTCTGAGGCTTCTGCATGCTGAATAAGAAGTGTGAGTACGGCTCTCGTGGTTTGTAGGCACAAACTCAAAAAAGTATGTTGGGTTACATATGAACATTTTTGATGCTTCCTGTTTTCATGTCTCTGTATTTTTTTCACGCAGGAAAATACTATCATTCGAAACTGGAGGAAGAGAACAGGTTTGCCATTTTCGTAAGAAACCTTGAGCTCATCATGGAGCACAACAAAAAATACAAGGAAGGGAATGTCAGCTTCAAACTGGCTATGAACCGCTTCGGAGACGTGGTAAGAAATAGAAGAAAGAGTTCATACTGTCAGCAGAAACGGTTTTTTCTAATTATTTCATTATTGGCATGTCCTCTTTTGAAGAGTGATTAATCGCGCCATTTATGTCTTTCTCGCGTAGTGGGCATGCTAGCTGCGTCGTTTCACACTGACATTGTTGGCCTATTTATCGTACATAAATTCCGGTTATTCTAAGATCTCGTATGCGCAATATAAAATGCATTGAAGAGGCAGTTAGTTAAATCAAGCTAAATATATTTAGAGCAACAATTCAATATACATGAAGCTAAGAGAAGGCCAATCGCCTCAATCTTTTTAGGTGTTAGTTCCTGCAGTCACCTTCGCGATGATGCATGTCACTGCGAGGCTAATCACCCCAATTGTTAGAATGATTACAATGAAGTATTTATTACTTTATTTATTTTTTGTTGCTTTTTATTATTTTCAGTTCGTATGTGGTATAAATGGTGTACGTACAGCCGCGCTCAAGTCTGTGTAGAGCACGTGAGCAGCTGGTTTTATCTCTGCGGAGTGACACCTTGAGCCAGTTTCAGGCTCTGACGAGGTGAGCCTGACTACTAGGCTGCGCATGCTCCTCCCACACTCCATCGAAGCCTGAAACTGCCTCGTGGTGTCGCCCCGCAGAGTAAAAATCGGCTGCTTGCGCTCTCTACACCGACGTGACCTTTCTGGTATATATATATATATATATAATATATATATATATATATATATATATATATATATATATATCACCACGGCTGGTTGCTTTTCACCCACTTTTCTTTCTTCTTATTTACATTCCATTGGTTCTAAAAACTTCCCCTGTACATTCCTTGGAATTACTGTCTGTTAGATCTCATTAATATTGTGTCAAAACACGGGAAAACGAGCCCTTAGGTATACACTTCTTTCTCTTATTATATATATATATATATATATATATATATATATATATATATCAATGAAGTGCTAACATCGGACCCGGAAGTAAAGTTCAAAAAAATCAAGCACGTAGGAAGAATTGTTTTGTAAAGGACTGACGTTTCGGCCGCGGGACCGCTCCGACGAAGGCCGGTCCCGCGGCCGAAACATCAGTCCTTTACAAAACAATTTTTTCTACGTGCTTGAATTTTTTGATCTATATATATATATATATATATATATATATATATATATATATGACACCGGAAACGGCGATAAGGGCTTATGAAAAGATAAAATCGCGCTTTCATTCCTCGTTCTCACAATTTACTGTCGTCTCCATTGTTGTGCCCTAGATTAACATTTGTTTGTTTGCCGTTACTGCAAATTAAGCGTGAGAACATACACGCAGTGGGAAAATAATTTTGCTGTACATTTTTTTCTCTCCATTTGGGTCTTTAGTACTTTTGGCATGAAGGTTAACCATTGTCTAACTTATATTCATCCACATTTACCATTTTTGATGTTTTGTTTCAATACGAGATTTTGAATGTCCCCGCAGCTACAGTCTGAACTACGCCAAGCACCAGCAGTAAAACCAAGAAGAAGGTTCACCTTGAAACTCCCATGCAGAGATACACCGGATGGACTCAATATCAGTGACCTGCCTGCCGAAGTGGACTGGAGGAAAGAAGGCGCCGTGACCCCTGTGCCTGATCAAGGGTCGTGTTTGTCGTCGTACGCGTTCAGTGCCGTAAGTGCATGGGCATTATTAATTGTTAATCGACCCAGAGAGAGAAAGAGAGAGAGAACTCTTTCATGACATGCAGAAAATTTAGCCGGCTTATTAAATTCGGTGACTTGCTACTTTGCACGTGGAAGGGGATTGAGGATTGAAAGCACGAGCAGGAAATGAGAGAGAAAAAAAGACAAACTGTAAATATAGATGATAGAATAAAAAGAAAAGAAAGGAAAAAGGCCACCTCTTTGACCATTGAATGAGGACGCGAGCTAATAGTTTTTTCATGGTCTAGCTGACTATTAGTTTTTGCATGGTCCAGCTTGTCTAGCTGACCGATGCTGTCCAAGTACGCCAACAAAAGTTTCATAGCACGCCTCTGTAATGTGGGGCAGGCTAAAGGTCCAAATACACAGTCAAGGGAGAAAATTTTCTCAGTTATAAAATGCATGCAATGTTTATAAAGCGCGCGCTCCTCAGCATGCTCTCTCCACTGAAACAATATATGTTCCACAGTTTTGATGGAGTCACACTTTTTGCAATACGGACTCGCTGACGGTCCGAATCAGTACCGTAGGCTGTTAACATAGGCACTGTTTAGACGTAGACGATGGTATGGCATTTCCAGATGATGAGGAATTTTGAATGAGAGTCTTGTTTTCAGATAGGGGTCGATTGAGGGAAGGAAGGCATACTGATGAGTTGGAAGGTTCCAGCTTCTCTTAATTTTTTTCAATCGCAAGTCTTTTGGCCATTTGAGCTGTACCTATTTAGTGAAATAATTTCGTCTGTAATTATGGTGTCGAAGACATTTGCATGCTGCTTCATCTGCTTTTTCGTTGGCTGACATGCCACAATGAGCCGGTATTCACTGAAATGCGATAGAGTTCCCTGCGGTCACAGCCAGGTGATGTAGATATGCTATGTTGAGTGAAACGGAATGAGAATTCATCTTTTTGAGGAGGTTGAACAATATCTGTAGTGCTACCTTGAAGTTGGTAAAAATTACCCATTGGTCCGGCGTTTCGCGCAAGATGTAAAGAACAGGTTCTTTGATGCCATGAAGTTCTGCTGCTGTCGAGGATGTTTTCCACTGTACTTTACAGGATTGCATTTGTCTTGTCGAAGGGATATGAAGTTCATAAGCCGAAGTCTCCTGAGTGGTTGAGGCGTCGGTGTAAATATGCGACTGCTGAGCATAGTTCTCGGCTAAGAAGAGGAGAGTAGTCTGCACCAGCACAGCCTGTGACATTCGTCTCTTTGCCCCATTGATGCCAGGTGCGACTTTTTTGTTATAGATGGAGGTGAAAGTGTCCGGGGAGGAATCATCGTTGCAGGCATTAATTTTTTTTGGCTGATTAACAGGGCATAGTTGAAGTATTCGCACAGCTTGGCCGAACGAACAATTGCTGTGCGTTAGGTGAACTCGGTACAGGAAATGCTTTTTTGCCTTGTATACATGTCGAAGATGAGTTGGCGTACTCATCAAACGTTCCGTAAGATGCGGAGACCTCACATACGGAATTATTGGAATATGGAAGACGTATGATGCGGACTCCGCATAAGACGTATGATGCGGGCTCCGCATAAGACGTATGATGCGGACTCCGCATCTTATGGAAAGACGTATCATGCGGAAATTACTGAAATGTGTGCATGTTACGTCTGAATCTAGTGCAAAGCAATATAATGTGTAAATTGAATAGACGTCCACATCTTGAGTACATGCAATACTGTGTACAAATCACAATATTTCTTAAATGTGCATGATGAGGGATTGAATCATCGGCATCTAGCTTACTAATTGTTGTGATGCAGAAGCAAAATTACCTTTTAAATAAAATACATTACAAAACTACTAAATTAACATGCTAGCGATCATAAATGGTGGTTACATTGCAACACATTAATGCAGTGTTCTATGCAAGACTTAAAGAACTTATAAAGTTATTATTATCAATAGAGAAGCATTAATATACACATCAGCCCTGCTACAATCAATATGTTTTTTTATTTGTCTGTATGCTCCAGCTGTGAATAGTGACATTGCAGTTTGATCGTACACAAATGAGGTGACTGCACCGCAATTTCACGAGCTCCACCTAAGCCACAGGATGGTGGCACAATGTAACAGCAATTTTAGAACGAAATGTTTAAACATAAATAATAATCATAGCACTGTGAAAGTGTGGCGCTGTGTTTATCTCATGAATGCCTTGTGGAGATCGGCGAAATGCTGCTTGAGGCTCCGGCACCACTGTAAATTTCGAAGGTCACTGCGATAGAACTTATGTGTCCTTCATAGGCACCTGGAAATGAAAATAATTGGCACAAATAATGTCAGAGACACATGTTAGCACAATAGTTTACATGCACAAGAAATATAACACACAGAATGAAACTGAAAATTTAAGGCACACAATCCTTCATGTTATGCATATGTGAATAATAGAAGGAATGAGTGTATAAATTAGTTCTGCCACATCAAAAAAAACAGCATGCTTATCACAGTGAAAATAACTAGGTTGTCACGATTAGATAATCGATTATTATGTCCTTATGAAATTATGATTTAAACGCTTCCTGCACAGTAAAACTTTAGGAACTGCAAGTGAAAGCTCTCAGTGTTCATTTAATAGTGTGTGCATGTACATCTGCTGCCTTTATACTATACAGTTTGTGCACAAAATTGGCATCTTGAACAATTTTGAGAGTTAAACCTAAGCAACTTATGAAGGTTAAAATCACCATGAAAGCAAGCAGGACCAGGCAGGTGCCATTAAAAATCTGTGCAAGCCAGATAACTATAACCGAACTGCACACATATAGGGGAGCAAGAGTAACAGTAATTCGGCTGCTGACCCGCATGTCGCGGTATCAAACCCCGGCTCCATTTCCGATGGAGGCAGAAATGCTGTAGGCACGTGTGCTCAGATTTGGGTGTACGTTAAAGAACCCCAAGTGGTCGAAGTTTCCAGTGCCCTCTACTACGGTGTCTCTCATAATCATATAGTGGTTTTCGGACGTGAAACCCCACATATAAATCAAGAATAACAGAAATAAACTGCCAACAGAAAAGTTGGTTGCATGTGCTATCTGTAAGTGCTTACACCTTACTACATACAGCATGCTCATTCCATTTTAAATACCGATATTGAAAATAACTGCTCTATTAGGAATGTAAAAGGTAAGGTAGAACTGAACGACTCTACAAAAAGTGACCCTATTATGACATCACGTTTTCTTATAACAAAATTGACTAAGACTCTCAAATATCATTATGCAAGGAAAAAATCTTCAAAAGAACAATCAAGTTTGAAGTCATAATTATTTATATGTCTCCTATGACTATAACCAAGAAATCGACCTCAACATGGCTAATGTTAGTTTTTAAGGCCTATGTTCACTAGACAATGAACTATACCACAAAAAGCACAGCGTTCAGGCAAAGCACCACACAAAAAAAGAAAGCAGTCCTTTTTGTTATTACCTACAATGCCTTTAAAATGGTATTTTTACCTCTACTTTCCGCTTTTTATCTAAGTAACTGGTGTGAAACAAGTTAGCTGAAAATGCACTGTGCCTCCAAAACCTGTTGGTTGAATCTGAATTTTAAAAAAATGGTGAAGCTTGCACTAAATTAGGCTCCACAAGCCTTGGAACAGTGAGACTACATGACTCTTAGGACTACTTTAGTTACTTGTGTTTTGTTTCTGGGCCTAAGCATAAAGACAAGGGCTTAACTGAATTGCTGCTAACAAACAAATGCTTTCGAAATTGCCCGAGCGTCAAAGGATGCTCAGCCATTTGTTGTTTTTTGCACTGGGCTATTCTACACCAAACATACAAACCATACTGCCTGGCGACCATCACAGATGTATAGTTTAAAAAATGATGGTAATTTACTCTTCTGAAAATAGTTATTTGCAGAAATGTTTTGAAGAGAAAAGAGTAGTGGTCACGTGGGTACCTTCAGAATTTCGCAGAATGTCGTGCGGGTGTTATTTGTGAGAAAAATTTCAAAGTACCGCTTTTTCTTGCCACATCAAATTTGATCTACATATTAAGTAAAGATGCTTCTTAAAGTATTTGAAGTCAAGTAACATTAGTGCAATTTTTCTGCTACATAGGCTTTGAAGAATTCCGCCAAACTGTTTATCGTTTGCATTTCTTGTATGGCAATACTGCATTTTGTATGAATATTTGAGCCACAAATACTCACTGCACAGAAGTTATATTTTACGAAAAAAAATAATGTTAGGTCCAGATTACAAATATCACTATATAATCGTTTTTGTCCACATTGAGATGCAATTTGAGCTGTGTGTTTGTCTAATTGAAAATTACTTTTATATGTAAGTTGAAAGCAAATAAACAGTTCTTGTTACATGGCAAGTGTTATCATTACAAATTTTGTTTAAATGAGGAAAATGATTTTTGAAGTCTCCTATTGAGGGCCATGGGGAACTTCGGAACGGAAGCTGTCGTACATCAAATGCAGAAAACAGCCATCATAAGAAAACTTCAAAAATTCATTTCTACTTTAAGACAAAGTGTAATCATATAACTTGCCATATAAAGAGAACTACTTCCTTGCTTTTGATGTGGCGAAAAAATTGCACTAATATTACTGAGCTTCATGCACTACACACAAGCACCTTTACTTAATACCAAGACCGAATTTGGTGTAGAAGAGGCAGTATTTTTGAAACACTTTACTTTTTACAAACAACACCCAGACGACATCCTGGGAAGTCCAGAAGGCACCAACGTGGCCTAATATTTTGTTCTCTGCGATATACTTTAGCATTTTGCTGTTTTCAGAAAAATACAGTAAACGAGCACAATATTTTTTTTTCAAAACACATTTAGGACGGTTGGCAAAATGGCTGGGATGTTTGATGCGTAATTGCCTCACTGCCAGCATTTATTCTTCCGAAGCTCAAGCTATCACCTCTCTGTTACTGCCTCCCTCACATACAATGCCTGCATAGGAAAGAAAAAGAAAGGCAGGT